TAGAGGGTGGATAAGGACTGAGAGGTTTGAGATGGGAGAGATGTGGGAGTTGGTGTTCTATCAGGAGGGGTATTAGGAGATGGAGGGTCTGAGGAAGGGGATACTTGTGACATAAGGGATTCACGTGTGTATCCAGGAGGGAGTGGAAGGGATAGAGGGGATGGTGGGAGGGTTAATGTGGGCTGGGTTGGGGTCGGGGTCGGGGGGGATGGGCTGTGTTGGGAGGGGGTAGGAGGATAGGGTGTAGGGGGGATATCATTAGGAGGGGGATGGATATCAGCAGTTACTTGGAGTGTGGAAGGAGCAGGGGTTGTAGGTTGAGTGTCAGTTTGCATTAAGTAATCTTGAATATTTTCAATAGTTTCTTCTGAGGAGTTGGTTGGGGAGTTGTGGGGGATAAAGGATTTCTTGTGAGGGGGGGAAGAGAGGACTGGTGTTTCAAGAGTAGGGGCAAAGGATGGTGGAGGTGATTGTGTGGTAGGGGAAGAGGGGGTGGAACGTTTGTTCTGTCTGTTACGGGGAGTGCGAGGAGGGAGAGGGGAAGGTGTTGGGGTTGTAGTGGTGATTGGAGTATCTGTATTAGAGATTGGAGTTTCTGGATTTAGGATGGCAAAAGAGTTAGACTGGGGAAGGTAGGAGGTAGAAGTGGGGGGGTTAGATGTAGGAGGGGTGGGTTTAGGAGAAGTGTTAAAATGAGCAGTATTACTGGAGTAAGGAGTAAGAGAGAATCCACGTCGACGTGCTTCCTGTCTGGCTTCACGCAGTGTGAGTCCAAGTTTGAATTTGAGAGTTGCTACCTCTGATTCAAATTTGTAGGTGGGACAGCCCCTATAAAATACATTATGGGGGCCGCCACAGTTAGCACATGTGCGTGATTGTGCAGAGCAGTTAGATCGGGTATGGCCAGGTTGGGCACATAATGGGCATCTGGCTGTGGAACGGCAGTGTTTGGCTGGGTGTCCTAGACGCCAACAATTTTGGCACTGACGTGGAGGAGGTTGGTATGGACGAACAGGGAGGGATTCTCCTCCTATGTAGACGTTAAAGGGAAGGTCATGTCTACGGAAGGTAATTTTGGCTATGTTAGTGGGTTTCTTTCGATGACCTCTGGGGGGGATTGAGTAGCATTGTACTGATGTTGCATCGTAGTCTGTGAGACAGGCAAGTAGATCTTCTCCACAATCTGACCAATCTTTGTCATAGATTGGGCAATTTGCTGGTGAGATTGAGACTGTTCCGGTGCAAGTATTGAGGGTTGGATGGGGTTCTGCTAGGATGGGGTTACCATATTGGTCAGTTAGTTTTGTTAGTGCTATGGCTTGGTTTTCGGATGTTACTGTTACAAGACGGGAGCGGTCGGGTCGGCTACGGAAAGAGACTTTACCTACTTGTTTTTGGAGGCATTGTTGGAAGAGAAGGGTGTTGTCAGAGTAGGGAGCTGTGGGAGGGATCACGAAAAATCGGTCCCATTTGGCTGCACTGAAGAGAGTATTCAAGATTGTTTTAGAGATAGGGGTGGTAGAAGGGCAAGGGCGTGACGAAGATGGAGTAGTGTTGATGGAGGTAGTGTTATGGAGAGGTGGGCTATAAGGCTGTAAGGTATTAATAAGGGAGGATGGGGTGGTTGATGTTGGAGGTTGTGGGGGTAGAGGTGTTGAAGTTGGGCATGCTGGGAGAGTGGAAATGTTCCTTGAGGGTTGATTATTGGCTACTGTACTAGTAGGCATTGGTGAAGGGGTAGTTATTGCAGTGTTCGGAGCCGTGGTCAAAGGAGAGCCTGGGGTCGGGGAATCAGGTGGGTTTACTTCGTTGGGGCTATTTGATAAAGGGGCAAGCCTCATTGCCCCTAATAGTGGAGATATATTTTCATTACTGGCCATGGGAAGCCTGGATTATGTTGGGGATAAAAACAGTCCACCCCTCAGGGTCCCCTTGAGGGGTAAGGGCTAGATAACTAAATCAGGGGAATACCGTGCCCATGGCTCCCTCAGGCCGTTCAGGACTGGCACAAAGTCAGCCTTTCATCCTTTCAGCACGGCTCTCACACCTTAGGAGGTGGATAGCAGAAGGGTTTGGTGAAGGGACAGAAACAAAAGTGGGAAGGGAAAAAAAAAGACCATGCATAATTAGTTGAGTCGAGGGCTGAGTCCCAAGGTTGGGGAGTTCCCCATCATTGGGTCCCAGTCTCCGCCTCCTAAGCCCCCCCACGACAACAACGGGCAAGGGATTGGGGGGGTAAGATATTTGTAGTGATGGGGGTAGGAGAAGGACAGGGGCGTGTGGAAGGAGTAGTGTTGAGGGAGGTAATATTATAGAGAGGTGGACAATAAGGCTGTAAAGCATTAATTAGGGAGGATGGAGAAGGTTGTGGGGTAGACGTGATGAAGTTGAGCATGTTGGGAGAGTAGAAATGTCTCCTGGAGACTGAGTGTTGACTAGGGTGGATAATGTACTAATAGGCATTGGGGAAGGGGTAGTAGTTGCAGTGTTCAGAGTCACGGTCAAAGGAGAGCCTGGGGGTCGGGGAATTGAAAGAGTTTGAATTGTTGGGGCTATTTGATGAACAACAGGCAAAGGATTGGGGGGAAGGGAAGAAGAAAAGACAATGCAAAATTAGTTGGGGGTTGGCGACATACAGCATCAGGAGGGTACTGATGAAGACATCTATAACAAAACCCGGATTTCCATAATAGTGGAAGTTTAGCAATTACCCTTGTACTTAACATTTTTTTCTTGGTTCTAAAAACATAGACAATAATGGTTGGATACTTTTTCCACAAAACAGTCCATATTACTTTTTGTAAATGCAGTCCCTTTCATGCATTTATAATGCTATACAGCATACTTTGACTAAGGATAAATAAAACTGCAAATTTTATTATATGCATACACTTTATTGTTGGAAGTAATCAGCACAACTGAGTAAATCATATTGTTTAATTACTACTACATCATGAATGAAGAATAAGAAATAAGGAGCAGGAAACTACATACAAATCTTTAATAAGATAACAAAAACCAATCTAAAGGAGTGAGTGAGGGAGTGTATCATAGCACACGTGTCTGTGTGTGTGTGATCTGTATGGAAATACACACATGCACTCACAAGTTCATAAAATAAAGTCAACATTTACATCAGTGCTGACTATTGAAATTAGCATGACTTTTCACACCAGTCCAGACCTCCAGACTGGAGAATGGAGCAAAACAACTTCAGCAGAATCAACTAAGTACTTTGGTTGAATCCACAGCAGTTACTTGTCCACCTAACACCATATTCCATTAAAAAGGCAGCCTACATAAATCATACAATTAGATTTTAGACATTCTGTCTTGAATTTAAGAGTATATTTACCACTTTACATATTTCCTCAAAATACCATTATTCACAAATAACAGAATAACATGTAAAACAACAGTGAAGATGAAATATGTGTAAAAGAATATTACTTATTGTTTACATACATATACATACATCCACATATATATCAGAATCCCCAATCATCTTACAGCCATGATGAAGGTCAACCACAATAACAACTACAGAAGTTCAAAAAATATGAGAAGAAAAGGCCACAGACATCCAAGCATTGGTCCAGAGGGAGTGCCTGAGAGCCATTTTGGAAATGTAAGATTGTCCATGAGAACCCCCTACCCAGTCTTTTTCCTTTCTTTCCTTTTTTCTGTAAAGAGGTTGCATCAAAGTGATAAAGATGCTACAAATTGCTTAGATACTTTGTACAGGTTTCTTACCTTTCCCAAGAAAAATATAAATTTCTAGAACATTTCATTTCTTTTTTCTTTTTTTTAAATTTCTGAATGTGACTGTCTCAGTTCTATGTCTGCCAGTCAGCTTAACCTTAAAATACAAAGAAATACTTATTAATTGTTTTACAATGAGACCCACATACAAAAAGAATCAATGGAAGTACTTCCTTTAAATCATTTGTTCTTCCTTTTCTCCACACGGACTTGGTCATGTGGATCTTCTAAATGTCACGGAATGAATCATCGGTAACCCGAGATGCTAATCTGCAGGTCTGGAACAGTCAACCAGGTACATATAACCCAACCCTAAGCCAAAACTGATTTTGCAAGACATGCCAAGGTAACACTTTTCCTTTCATACCTTCATGCTAACTAATCCTTAAAAGCAATTTTTATTTCATCATTTTTATATATTCATTTACTACATTTTTTTTCTTTTAACTACATAACAAAATTTCTAACCCATGTAACACCAACAGCCTGAACAGCTACACATATATACCCTGGACGGAATGTGTGAACACGATTTAACATTGAAACGAGGAATGGGGTCATTTGCAGTATAAAATGATGTGATACACTCTTGTAAGAAATAAAACAAAAACATCAATAATGACATAAAAATGAAATAGTTCATTAAATAATAAAAAAGATAATCTCAGGTCAAGCCAGCCAAACAGAAAAACACAAGACACTGTGCCACTTCAAAGACCGCAGCCCAGGCTTTTCTTCTCTCTAACCTACATATGCCATTTTTCAAGAGATTCCTTAGTGAGTAAATCTAGAGGAGCACAGTGAGGCATATGTAAAGATACATGTATTTTCAAAATCAAAATCACAATAAAGACAATCAAACTAAATCCCAATTGTTTCAATCATATAGATTTGCAAAAGAATAGGTTTTAGAGGAACTTTGCCTCATAAATATTTTGTGCGGACGAGAAGGAAATAGTCCAGTAAATGGAGAAAGAATGACAAACATTTTAGGGAAAAACAAAATAATCTAGGAGTAGGAAGAAGGAGAAGGAGAGGGAGAGGGACAGAGACAGACAGCATGCAGAGGAAGAGAGAGATGTAAACAGAAGAGAGAGAGAAAGAGTACATACTCTGTGTACAAAAAAGATGAGTATGCCAACACCCTCTCATCAGTTTCCACATATTAGCTATGATATGGTGACCATGACTATTCTACAGTTACTGCTCTAAATGTAATCGTCATCATCAAGTATTGCTTAACGAGGCACCTCGGCTAAGCCACTGTGTACTTTCCAACCGCTGGCAGTAATGCAATCAGCTGCGGTACAACCACGGGACTGTGAGCTCTAGCTTATGTGGCTCAATAACCATGGAAAAACATCAGGGGTGTACATAATTTCAAGTTTATTTTGGATGATAATGATGATGGTAATGTTGGCATGACAATGATGAAAGTCATGATGATGACAATAATTCAAGTAAGCAAGATGATAATGATTGTGATGATAATAATACTAATACTAATATTAATGATAAGATAATTAAAAAAGAAAGAGAATAATAATAACCAATTAAAAAAAAATTACAGTGTTCATGAAAAAAAGTAATACCAACCATCCTAACAATAATAAATACTTAAATACTTAAAAAATACAAATAATAATACCTTACAAACCAATTTACTAGAGCATGAGTCACACAATTAGGAAAATCTAAAATAATCTGCTTCATACAAACAGACCTCTGATGGTGCGATTGTCAAGTTTCCTTACATTTAGAGGGTGCAGAATAATTATTATATTAACATGAATTCCTATCAGGAAACAATTTAATCTTTAACTTGCTTACTCACATACACCAAAAGATGGAATTATTCATATCTTTATAAAATTATGATCATTAATTAAAGAATTATCATACTGAACAAAATTACCAATGGTTACCACTGGCTGTAAAACATAAAGGTAGACTAATACAATTTAAAAACATTGACAATTTTCTCACAAGAAAAAATAAATAATTTTGAAACAGGAAATTTTTGGAGAACCAAGAAGCAATAGTAAAATGTTTATAGTCACCTTCTAGCTATGAAATTGTTATCATAGATAATATATGACAATATTGACACAGATAAAAGGAAAAATCATACTATCAACTCCATACTGATTATGATGTTAATGATATTAGTTGGATGAATGATAAAAATATAACAATAAAAAATAATTATTATTTCTTTGAAATATAATAAAAAATACTAATTATGGTCTGCATAATAATGCAAATAATTTAGAAAAATTATAACTAATAAGAACAACCATATTATTTCAATAACAATATCAACAAAAGTAGTAATAATAAATAATAATAATGATGATAATAATAACTAACAATGATAGTATCAACTAGAAAATAAATCATCAAAAACAAGAGAATTATTAAAAGTAGATTAATACGATATGGAATATGAAACTTTAAATTAAAATAACAATGAAAAATAACACTATCAACCAGAAAAAAAGGAATCAAGAAAAAACAAGCTTCATAAAAATGCTCAAATAATAAAAATGAAAAAGAAAACAATAAAAACTTCTTCTAAATCACACAAATTTATTGTCTTGTTTTAGTTATTGGACTGGTCTCCAACGTGCGATTTCCTACTCCACCTGCCCTGGCCAGCCTAACCAATCCCAAGTCAATGAATCCTTATTACAGTTCGTAGGTTTCTGAATTCCGTGGCCACACAACAACAAGGTTGACAAAATCACTCCCACAGCCACAAAGCAAAACGCAAGGCTTCCCAACTGCAAGCATTCTTGGTCGTAACGAGCCTAGGACAGTATGCCAACGTATCTCCTCCCTCTACCACACTTTACCCACTACAGTCAATGGAATGGAAGAAGTGCAGTTTGCATTCATTAAAGCAGCAAGAACTATTTTTGATATGCTGTGTACTTCTTTCTACTGCCTTTGGCCTACATAATGTTGCCATTTACTCTGTGAATTAAATTAAAAAATGGCAATCTAGAATTACAAAGCACCACTTTTTTCATAGTATATATGTTCCAATTTTTCCTTAAGAACTCCTTTCCTTCAAGTACATATAAAACAAAACGTTCCAAATTTTCTAAAGGGCCCAAAAGTTTCTAAGTGGCCTCCTAAATATTTTGGAACTTTATTTTCTTTGCTAGCTGATAACAGACTGGCTGGCACAACTACTTCCCTACGTATAAAAACGTCTAGTCTTCTATAATGACTGTGATAAACCCAAACTAGAAAAATAAGTTAACAATGACTAGATAGAATGGAGCGTGCAACACAGTCTTCACTAGTGGCTATCCCGTGTATTTTTCTAAACACTGAATACTGAATATGTTGGCATGGGTGGGCCTCTCTGCTAAAATACACAGGCATAAATGTG